TGCATAAAAAATTTCAGAAGTTTTGAATAAAGTCTCTCTAAGATATGAAACTATCAAGGTATAGTCCCTTTTTCATCAATAATATATATAGTATGCATTTTTTTCAAAGCTTCATATCTTAGAGAGAATTTATTCAAAACTTCTGAAATTTTTTATGCAAACTAGTCTAGCTGAGGCCTTTATGCAGGCAAAGTTTCAGATCAAAATTCGAAAGTATAACTTTGCTGCCAATGTAGGCGTACAATAGAGAAAATTCACTAAGAGCTCAATATCTCCTCAGAAACAAGCCAGAAATCCGAACTTTTTTTACTATAGACATAGCTCACTATGGGCTACAAGATGCGCGAAACCCCAACTGAAAAGCGCTCCGACACCTGAGAAGGTTCCCTTGTTAGATACTTATAAATTATACAAATTGAAACAATATTCACCTGAATAAATTAGAGAATCCAATCATGAGAAAAAGAACTAACAATTATCCTTCTTTTCTAGGTTGAATGATGAAACATCATTTAAAGCGTTTGATCAAAAATTTTCATGAATCTGACAATAGTATTCACTACGTTTTTAAAAACTTACCACACATAATGGCATAATATCCTTTTCTGATCGTAATAAAGACATTGACATACCGTCACCAAGTGCATTTTTTGTATCAGTCCTTCGAAATAAACAAAAACATTCTATAATATTAGTTAAAAAGATAGAAGGTGACCAAAACAATATTACTTGAAACTATAATGCGATAGAAGTGTTGACATATGTAATGCACCAATATCTGATGTTAATTGAAAATCATTTTGTTTATCAAAATAGTGATGTAAATAGTAATTAGCTTGAGAATAATTATTTTTTGAACGTGCTTGAAGATAAATAAACCAAGGTACTTACAACTTCAGCTAATTGTGGATAAATTTTTTTCAATCGATCGAAGAATTTCTAATTCATAATCATCGACTTATATTCCAGCACCCAAACGTAACACCTAAACATTTATGAATTTTAAATTGAGAGGATAAAAAACACAAGCCAAAGAAAAAGGCTTACAAGCTTGGTTAACATATATTCAGCTTGTTTTATCGATATAGGTACGGTGACCTCTAATGATGAGCTAAAACAAAGAAATTAATTATTTATGAATATACCTATATTGACTAATCTTTACTATTGTTTCGTTTGAATTTTTAATTCTCTAATTGAAATATTCTTTTTATTTTCGTTTGGTAATTCAGATCCAGTTATCATTCTTTTGTCTTTTGGTAGTAATGGACACTTAAAGATTGATGATCGGAGATACGAATCAACATATCGACTAACATCATTAACAAGTTGCTCTAAACTTGGTGTTGATAACATTTCAAATGAACAGATATGACGATGTAGAAAAAGACCTATATGTACAAAAAACAATTAGTTTGTTTCTGTTTTGCTTCTTCAACTTATTAATCATAGCAACAAGACTCCACCCTTTAATTGTATAATGAATTTTATCTGGTTGATGACTTAGTTGATTTTCATTATTGTTAAAATTTGATTCACTACTTTTTGGAATAAATTTTGGTAAAACATGAAATAAATCAATTATATCGACCAAGGTCGCTTCTGCTAATTTAGCAATGCTAAGCATTTTATAGATAAAACTTTCAAAACAAAAAGAAAATTAAGGAAAAGAATGACTTTACCTTTGAGAATATTCTGTAACAATATCATTATCAGGATAAACTTTTACTAAATGTTAAACAAGATTTGGTAATTTCCATTCGAAATTCGATCACAATACACTAGATTTTGTATATAAATAATATATTTGGATATCTTACTCATGTGAGAAATAATAATAATGATGGAAGAAGAACACTTTCTCTATAAGTATATTCAGGTGATGTATTTCGTGTTGTTGCTTCTTCCTTTAAAAGCAAATATCGTTGATTCTATTAATTAATAAGTAAATATAAGTATTGTGAAAGTTTTTTTTTTATAAAGTTTTATTTACTAGATGACGTAAAATAGTGCAAAATAATTGAAGAAGAACTATTTTTCGCGAAGACAAATGTTCACATAAACGTGCGTAGTCAATAAGGCGCACTTCATCATGCTGATAATGAATTCTGCAATAGTGTATATTGCCATTTGGTCCATTTAGATCCATTTGAATTTTGTAAAAATATAGGGAAAATATCTAGGTAATAATTATTAAATGAATGTATCTGTTGATAACCGATGAAATATTTGTCCAGAGAGAGACAGACAGTCTCCAAAAATATAAAAGAAGCAGCATTTGAGAATAATGGACCCATCATAAGTAATAAATAAAAAGATGTCATTGATAAGCAAATACATAAGTGATGACATAGACATATGAGTAGATATCGTTGCATTAGAAGCAACAAGTAGAACAAATATTGATCATAGACGATTGTTTTGCCAAAATGTGTCAATGATTGTGAACGAAATATACATCATTATCTGTTAGCATTTCCTATGAATACAATGTCTGATATTTATTTTCTTTCCTTTTTGATGCATGAAGGGAAATAAAGAATTACATTTCAGTCCGTGATTTTTTTGTTTGCAAGAGGACTTTATATCTGAGACGTTGAAAAGATTAGCTAAAAAATCTTACACAGGCGTTTAATATAAATTAAATAAATTTTATTGTAGACTTACCTATACAATCTTTTACTTGTAACTGCCAATATGAATTGTCAATATAAGACGTGAACTTGATTCTCTATCATCGTTAGGCTATACAATCTGTTTTTTTGTTCTATTAACTAATTGTCATACATAGTTGATCTGAAGAAGTAATTAAAACTGTTGTATAGTATTTAATGTGACCTATTTTACGGCTTATTGAAGGGATACATGATAGCACGCGAATGGTTGAGGAAATCTGGAAAACCATAAAAAAATTTTGTTAGCAACAAAATAATTTTTTAAAAGGTATATTTCTATGTTTTTCTATTGATAATGGAATGTCTAACATCGATGATTAACCCTTTGTCGATATTATATATTTGTAGATTAATAATTCTTTGTCAGCACCAAATATGAATGAGACAGTTTTGAGAACCTGTACTAAATGGAAAAGATTGAAATTTCATATTTTCGTCGAAACTAATGGTTTTCTCATTTTATCAAGACTTTAGATTTAAAACTTAACTAAAAAACAAGGAAAAATAAATACTCGGATTCAGTTTGAAATACTCTATCACATAGTGTCTAAATCAAAATGCATTTTTTCAAGTTAAAGAAAACTTTGAAGCGCTGCAAAAATTGACGAAACTTTTGTAGACATATATTTACAACATTCTTTTGTTTATGAATACATTCTACGACCTTTATAGTTTGTGTATGGTTCAAAATAACATTATTTGTTAAAGAATTTCATTCTCAGACTTGAATAAAAAAAACTTTCAATATGTTGTGATGTATCTTGTCGAACTAACAACTGTTTTCATTAAATTAGTACTAGAAAGTGCTTAGATAGTCGAGATCTTCTACTGTCTCTTCTTTTCTGCTTTTATGACAATACATAAAATTTGAATAAGAATATTTTATTTTTTCTTACTCTTTATGAAGAATTGAGATATCTGGTATTGCTTTCGGCAGTTGTTTTTACAATGAACTACAAAAGAAATAACCTGATAATTCATATGTAGATTTAATAATGTTGCACCTGTAATAGTGTACATCTAATAAAAATTCGAACCCGATAGATGAGCATGAACGGCTTAATGTAAGGTTCTCCACATGAACTACGTCTTTAGTCAAAGAGAGAACCACAGTATTAGCAATATTTCTTAAATGAAAGGATTAGCTGAATAGAGATACAGTGAAGACGAAGTTGTACTCTAAAATTATGAACAAATAATGCAGAGACATTGTTATCTAACATTATGGCAAACTGTTAGGTACAAATGTATTTAGTTGCAAACAAAGCTTTATTCAAGTATCGTATAAGAAAAAAGAACATGTTGAACCGAAATATATAGACATTTCTTCTCTTTTTTCAACATGTAATAGTGGAATCTCGACATTGATGAAGATCAACATCGATTATTGTATACTTTTATGAACTTCAATTGATAACTTTTGCAGGATATGAGCTGCAGAAAGGTTCAAATTTCAAAGTCAAATTCTTTTTATAGAGTCAAAAGACAAAGAATTCCAGTTAATAAAATGAAGGTATCGAAATTCGAAAAGCACAGCCAATCTTGAATTAACAGGAGAGTATTTAGATCGATTGATACTAGTTGGTGTAAAAGTAATTCATGAGTCGACGGCGACGCGTGTAGTTCGCACCGACTAATAGACAAGCGATGAGAACGATGACGACAAGGGTGACACCAACAATGGCACCTACATTGAATTTATCAGGATGCCGAGGACTGGTAGTAGTGCGACGCCGACTGGTAGTTGACCTTCTCGATGTAGATTTAGACTATTCGTTTCAATTTAATCTTCATAGTTTTTCATTAAATACATTTGATGCTCATCAAGCTCTGTATTACTCAAATATCTTACTACAGATCTTTCTTATCATCAATGATATTCCACATCTTGTTTCTACGTCAGTTGCTCCTTCATGTAGGCTAAAAATGTCTTCTAGCAGTATTCTCTTATGCAGAAATGTGCTCACAAAAGATATCAATACGATTAGTTACATACTGTTGAAAGAGCACAATAGCACAAGAAGAAGAAGAAGAAGAAGTCCCATTGTGATATTCACTGGTGTCCGGATAGAAATTCTATGTCGTATACATCAGTTTGACAACATACAAGTGAATTTATGTTTTATTTGCCAAGATACTTTTGCACATTATCATGCTGATCCGTCAAGTTACACTAGCAAATTCATGTTTATACTTTGATACTCATGAAATCAATAGAATCGATAAAGATCAACTGAAATTGACAAAATTGTTCGTTAACAGACGTGTATTCTAATTGATCGTTGGGCAGGAATCAAGACTGAAGAAGTAAATAGTCATTTTATCAATTTTAAAACTGAAAGGATACACTTAGGGATGTGCAGTTTCGGTGAAAACAATGAATTACTGACAGTGATACCACTGCACTGAGCGCACTGACTGCAGTGACACACTGACACTGGTGTTCAGTGAATCAGTACATACATTGACACTGGCGTTCAGTGAATCAGTACATACACTGACACTGGTGTTCAGTGAATCAGTACATACATTGACACTGGCGTTCAGTGAATCAGTACATACACTGACACTGGCGTTCAGTGAATCAGTACATACACTGACACTGACTGCTTCGGTTGCAGTGTCTGCACCGACATGGTGTTCACTGAATCAGTGCATACACTGACACTGATTGCACTGGTTCCACTGTCTGCACCGACATTGGTGTTCACTGAGCCAGTACATACACTGACACTGACTGCACCGGTGTCAGGGTTCACCGGAACAGCGCTGCTTACTGAAGTATCAAGTCGCTGACTCTATCAAAGTATGCACTGCTCATGACTTTATTTATGACTGTCAATGAAATTAGCGAAATGGCCATACCTATTCCTCCAGAAAATAGGATTCATTTAAGTAATCTATAATTTTGAATAATAAAGTCGATTTCAACGAAATACGACTCTTATAGTCCTAATATTGACACATAACTACGGGATTTTCATACTATGGGCTATTTAATTTCAGTCTGAATTTATCAAATAAAAATAATACTTGATTTCAAACTGAAACGTGAGTCTAGGAGTGAGGGAGGGGGTGACTGAGGGTGTGGGTGTTGGTCTGGGACCCACACGCACACCCACACCCATAGTGCGGGTGTGGGCGCGCCATTGAGGGTGAGGGTGTGCCTGTGGTTTTGTGTACTATAGGCTTTAGTCCCCTGCACAGGGGACTAAGCGGGGACTAAGCTTTTTGTGGGGGGGGACTAAGGGGGACTTTGCAGGACTAGCGGGAACTAAGGGTTTTTAGTGAGACTACGTAGTATCAAGCGAGAAAAGTTTGATTCGGAAGAAAGTGGTGTGGTTTTTTTGATTTTAGAATTCAGTTTGAAATAAAAAAGCCCATAGGCTCGGGATTTTATTACTCAACCAGATTCATTTAAAGAAGATGAGAGTTTCTCAAAATTTATGTGGACTTTGTAAAACCATTTGTATCGTTACGATTACATAAATTTTTGGCTTTATTTACTCTTTTTTATGCAATGGTGAAAAAAAGGGTATGTACGTGAAAGTGTATGTAGCTTATCTCCACCAAGAAACCAAACTATTGAGCAGATATGCTTCCATTCAATGAAATTGTTTTGTTCATCCGCATATTACAGGTAGAAGATGCCGTCGTCTTCTGTGTATAAATTCTAGTCAATGGAAATCAGTATCAGTACGTCAGTGTTCCAGTGTGCGTCAGTGCAACAACTGCAGTCAGTGTCAGTGTATGTACTGGCTCAGTGAACACCAATGTCGGTGCAAACAGTGGAACCAGTGCAATCAGTGTCAGTGTATGCACTGATTCAGTGAACACCATGTCGGTGCAGACACTGCAACCGAAGCAGTCAGTGTCAGTGTATGTACTGATTCACTGAACGCCAGTGTCAGCGTATGTACTGATTCACTGAACGCCAGTGTCAGTGTATGTACTGATTCACTGAACACCAGTGTCAGTGTATGTACTGATTCACTGAACACCAGTGTCAGTGTCATCAGTGTACCGGTGAACGCCAGTGTGACTTTATCGGTGATCAGTATACTGAAACTGCACATCCCTAGTATGATACACTTAATACATTGTTAACACCCTCTATCGTCACAATAAATTTGAAGAGTCAAGTGCATTGTCAATGCCAATAACGTGAACAATGGCTGAGTTACATTACAGCCCCCAACAGTGTGTTTGGCATTTTCTCATTTTCTTTCTTCGCAATCACCAGTCATCGAATGGCTTCAGAAAAAAATTCAATAAAAAAGGGTTGCATTCATCACACCGGTGGGAATGAGTCTCAGCTCCAAGATAATCTTCGGCGTCAATCAAGTTCATCGAACACCAACACGAACAACAATGTGCCACGATCCCGTTCACAATCCACTACAGATGTTGACACAACTGCTAATCCAAGCTCGAATCCGAATCCAACTCCGAATCCCGACTATCTAACAATCAGCAGTCATCTGCGTAGTAGTATATGCTTTGGTTATCCAGTGTTACGTGGAAGTCATACAAAAATCGTTCACAATCCTTATATTTTCAAACTACATTTTGAAACGGTGGCTTTAGAACAACAACGAAATCCACATTCATTTCGTCGCAAAAAAGATTGGCTCGGTCGATGGACCGAAGCAAACATCGTTCGTAATCGTCTTTTGAAAGAAATGGTTGCTGCTCAAAAGAAGACTTCTGCTTCTGGAGCACCAGCATAAAGTCGACAATAAATCAAAGGAAAGAGAAAACTACAAAAGAAAAACAAACGCGCAAAGGTATTAAGAGAGGTAGAGACTGTAATAAACAAAAATAAAAAAATAATCTATAGAGAAGTAACAGAAATAAAGTGCATAGGTGAAACATAAAAGAACACAATGACTTAAATAAATCAGTATTGAAGTAAGTAGCAAATAAGCTAGTAAGATTGTTTGAAGAGTTTTTGTGTTAACATGCACTATGATCGTTCGAAGTTCTTGAATCGAACTTATATTACACTCTTTCTGTTTTATCTATACCAGTTGCCAGCTCGATTGCCACTAACAATTGCTATAGTAATGTTTCATAATGCCAATAATGCTTCAGCAGAAGAAGCGAAAGCTTTAGAATGGATCTCTATTGATTACATTGTTTCTCTTTTCTTGTCAACTGAGTAGGTACGTTTGCAAGCTGACCTTTTTCTCTGATGATGCTCTTGTTGCTTATTGCGTCGTTAATGTATGCGAGTAATTATGGGGAAGTCGTGATAACACAAGATACGTTAATGTTCTCATACCTATTGCCGTCATAATCTCCCTAGTTGCCGTCTTCAACAGCTATTGTAATGATGATTTATTTCATGTAAGCTCTTCCATTATTTGGATTGGCAAACTCTTCTGATTCTTTATGCGAATTCATCATGTTTTTGTCGTTCTGTACATTTAAATTGATTTTTACATGTGTCGTCACATAGCAAATTGATTTATGCAACCGGTGAATAATTTTTATGATGTATTTTATCATAAACAATGTACGAAGTATTCAATGCATCCACAAGATATGTCGGAACGAGTTACTCGAGCTCAATTAACAATCGTTTAGAAGCCCATATCATTGCTATCATATTAGAAAAAGATATTATAGTTATCTTAAAATAGCGTAGTGTATGCTATAACTAAACACTAGACAATTCAATCAGATTAACACCGATTCTTAACAGAAAACACAGTAACTTATAAGAATTTTTGAGTGGTTTTACTTTGTTGTTTAGTCAATCAGAGCTTTTACTTTAGTTTTTCTGAAAATTTCAGCCGCTTCTTCTTAAAGAAACAATCAAAGCTATTGATGGCCATTATTTCGCGATTGGATTGCTGTTTTCTTTTAACGAAATTGATTAGCTACTAATTTTTCATGTATGAGATTAAGAAAAACAAGTAAAAGAAAATTAAAATTAAATTAAATAATACAAAGAAAGTGTTTGGTTATTCTTATCTTTCAGATGGTATGTATACCCAAGTGTTGATTGCCAGACGAGTGATACTTATATAACCACTCATCTATTCATATTTCCTCTCAATTTCATGCCTTATACTGAGAAACAAACATAAGGGCTGCTTCACTATTTCACATATCCTGCCTAATTATAATTAACCTTTTCTAAGCACATGAATCTCAGACTGTAACGTATCTCAATGCAGCAGGTATTCATAGTTTGTTATCTCTTCAAACCGCATGTTTGAGGTAAAGCTTGTCGTAGCATTGGTACGACGTCATATTATTCATTCGTTTTTTAAATATCCCATGACAAAATGATTGATGATAACGTTTTGAGTATTCCTGAGTTTGATAAGAATCAATGTAACATGAATACTATAAACAGAATATTTCCTTCTATTTGAATCGTGTCTTCATGCAAAAATAACTAAAAAAGTTTCAATGGAATCATATTAATAACTTTAAACTTCTAGGATAAATATTTTAGTTAGCAGATACTGCTATGTGTTCTTTTCATTTCACTGAAAATCGAGAAAATCAAACAAACCAATTCTGACACAGTTGGATCCAACTATTACAATTTGATAAAAGTAACTCTGATAACTTGTAATAAACACTGTCGAAATCATCCGGGTCAGTTGATTTCTAAGTTTTTTAAAAAACAATTTGACATTTACAACACAATTGTGACGCCAGAAATCGGTGAAATCTATATTATATACTCCATAGGAACTCGATGATGCGCAATAAGTTGCTCATGGATATAATAAAATGCAATAGTTTTCAATGATAAGAAGGACAAACTTGTATTATTAGTAGCACAAAGATTCGCCTCAGTACTTAGAAACAGTTCATCATATTCCGATTGCACTGATTGATTGGATCCATAAATGAACGAATGTAGTTTGTCGATGCCTTAATATGATATTACTGACTGCTTTCAAAAGAATTTTCTTTTCAGTATTTTTTTTATGAAGTTAAATCATTCTGGACCAGTCTCTTGTATGTACTTAAACAGAAAAATCAGCAGTATTTGTCATCTTTCTAATCAAAAATAATATTCAATAAAAGTAACTTTCGTACGTCAACGAAAAGTCACAAAAAAATAGACAAATTTCTAAACGTCATCTTTCTCTTCTACTCTAATTCACGCTTGGCATTTCTCTTCGACTTAATTTATTGAAATCAAAAAATCAAAGAATGGAATGTTTAGAGCTATTAATTAGCTCTTCTGCCTACAGTTCGGCGCAGATAACCATCAATAACAATTTCTCTTGTTTGTGGAAGTAAAGCATACGATCCATCGGGTTTCACTGGATTCAAGATTCCTTTGGCTTTTTCTTTTAAAATCTATTTGGCAACAGCCTCAAATACGTCCTTTATATACACTTTGTCAGGATTTTTCGACATCATATCTTCAATTCGTTTGAGTAAATTTCTAACAGCTTCATTCTTTTGCGCGTCCTTTCCCTTATTATTAAAGCTTAAATAACGTTGGTCACATTGTTGAAGAAGTTTCCTAATTGGCGAATCAGATTTAAATTGTAATAGATAGTCATCTAATGTAGTTTCTTCTTCCTCCAATTCATCGCCATGAGTGAAGATTACTATCGTATGATCGATTGCTTTCGGGCCGAAGATTTTCCTAAGATAATCAGTTGTCTCATGTACAATAGCCAGCATTCTCCCTGGCTCAACCATGAGTAAATAAACATACGGTCCAGGAACTGCTGTTAATTGATACGATTTAGCAACTTCTTGCTGGATATCTGCTTCTTTTATGCTGTAGTCAAGAAATCCAAGTGTATCAACAATAAATAGCCTTTTATTTTCAAAGATTCGTGCACCAGAAGCACATTTCGTTGTGACACGAACTGGGGCCATTTTTGCTTCAAACAATTTTCTACTAAGAATAGTATTACCGACTGAACTTTTGCCTTCGGGAAAATGAACAAATTAAAATATTTTGGATGACGTATATGTCTTTTTTACCTGTGCCAGTTGTACTGAGCAGAATCATTCGGATTTCATCATCTGTGCCTGTCGCCTCAGCTTGTATTTCAGTGTTACTAACCATCTTCTATCTATAATATTCCAACTATTTATAGATTATATACAGATAAACTATTCACTGTACGAAAACAAAACAGTTCAATTGAAATCCGATTTCTGAGAGACATGTCTAATAGAAACATTTTATGTGCATTAGTCATTTCCAATGGAATGCTCTATACTAATGGGTGGAATATCTAGTGAGTAATTTTTCTATACATTTCAATTCACTTAGAATCTGTATTTTCTAGAAATCAATAGACTAAGAATTAAAAAGGAACTTCCATAGTACAAATTTTAGAAGAAAGGCCTTGATTTATATTAATACAAATAAAAAAGTTTGAAGTATAGTTTGACCAATATTTCAATTATACTGACATAGTTATCAATTTGTAATAGAAAAATTGGTAAACTCTATTAAAATGTGTAGAAAAGTGATTCGTTTGGACAAATATGAGAGATTTGTATGCACGAGTGTCGCTGTTCAATATGCATGAATTGAGTTTAGAAGATCTTTAGTGATGTCTACACTATTACGGATCTAAAACCGATGAGGAAGAGATTTTTAAAACCTTTCTAATAGAATGCAGATATAGAAATAAACTGATAGTACATAAGAGGTGATCGCTTGGATCTTGGAAATAAACAAAATGCTTGTATCAATTTTCGATATATCTAATAGTGCAAGAAAGTGCAGACTGTCTGTTTAATATTTACTATGTTGCATAAACTATGCAGTACTGAATACAAATGTATAAGATAAGGTGTGGGTGGGTGTGGGTGTGGGTGGGTGTGGGTGTGGGTGTGGGTGTGAGTGTGGGTGTGGGTGGGTGTGGGTGTGGATGGGTGTGGGTGTGGTAGGGAACTGCAAAGTGGTCCCGGTCCCGATCTCGGCGGGACCGGGACCGGGACCAAAATTTGACTTTTTTACGGGACCGGGACTAAAAATTTTTCACATTGGTCCCGGTCAGTTTTTATGCAATATATTTTCACGTTTATTATTTTGACATGATTTAAGATCTGCAAATCAGATATTTTTATTTGCTATTTCTATAAAAGTCTTTACTGATTACGAGTTTGTTTGCAAGAATCTGAGTTTTCCAATCGCACAGGTTTTTGAATACATATAAAACAACCAACACAACACCATATACGTAAGTTTAATTTGTTCATTCTTTGATGATTCCTTTATTGAAGTCTTATCAGATAATAGTAAATAGATATGTATCGCCGTTTATTTTTTTTTTTTTTGACAATCATAATGGCTACTCAGTATAAATAATCAATTCGACAATAGATCCATTAGGTAGAGCAGTAGATATAAAAGAAGAGAGAAATAAGTAAATGACTGCTATGAAGTATATGAGAATTTTTAACAAAATTCAATGGTTATTTTTATTTATTCGAGCTCTCAGTGAAATTCTTTCACTTTAACACTGGATATAAAAGAATTTTCGTACTGTTAACGAATCAAAATTATTCATGTCAATTTTATGTATTCATAAAAGTACACAGATCGTAAAAAAAGTTGCTCGATATTAGAAATGAAACCATTGTCAAAGACCGGGACCGGGACCGGGACTGGAAAAAAATTTGACCGGGACCGGGACCGGGACTAAAAAAAAATATTTGACCGGGACCGGGACCGGGACTAAAAAAAAATATTTGACCGGGACCGGGACCGGGACTAAAAAAAGTGATTTTGCAGTTCCCTAGGGTGTGGATGGGTGTGGCTGTGGCTGTGGTGGTGTTCTCTGCTATCTCACTCACACCTACACCCACACCCACCCCCACCCACACTCACACCCACACCCGCCCAC